TCAAAATAAAAAAGTAGAAAAACATAAAGATCCAGCAAACAAAATATCTACAACAAAGAAAAAGATGAAAAAAAATACATAAAGAAAAACGACTCACCACAGAAAATTGAGGAGAACAAAGAAACTGAGAACAACACAGAAAAAGACATATCAGGATGACAGCACTAAACTCATATCCATCAATAATTACAATGAATGTAAACGGGATTAATGCACCAATAAAGAGACGGAGAGTGGCAGATTGGATAAAAAAGCAATATCCATATTTATGCTGTCTACAAGAGATGCTCCTTAGACTTAAAGACACAAGCAGGCAAAAACTCAAAGGATGGAAAAGGTATATCAAACAAACAACACTCAAAAAACAGAAGTAGTGGCAATATTAATCTCTGATAAAATAGGCTTTAAAGTAGAATCCACCACAAAGAATAAGGAAGGGCACTACATAATGATTAAAGGGTCAATACACCAGGAGGACATAACTACAATAAATATTTATGCACCCAACAACAGGGCTCCAAAATACATGAAACAAACTCTAACAGCTCTAAAGAGAGAGATAGACAGCTCCACAATAGTAGTAGGCGACTTCAACATGCCACTCTCGGTGAAGGGCAGAACATCCAGAAAGAAGCTCAAAAAAGACACAGAAGAGCTAAATGCTACAATCAACAAACTTGATCTTATAGACATATACCGAACAGTCCACCCAACAGCAGCCAAGTATACTTTTTTTTCCAACGCACATGGAACATTCTCCAGAATAGACCACATATTAGGTCATAACGCAAGCCTTAACAAAATCCAAAATATTGAAATATTACAAAGCATCTTTTCTGACCGTAAAGCCATAAAAGTGGAAATCAACAACACCAAAAGCAAGGAAAAAAATTCATACACATGGAAACTGAAAATGTTGCTCAAAAACTACTGGGCTATATAAGAAATTAAGGATGGAATAAAGAAATTCATAGAATCAAATGAGAATGAAAACACATCCTACCAGAACCTTTGGTATACAACAAAAGCAGTGCTCAGAGGTCAGTTTATAGCAATAAATGCACACATCCAAAAAGAAGAAAGGGTCATAATCAAAGCATTAATCCTACAACTGGAACAAGCAGAAAGACAGCAGCAAAAGAAGCCCACAGGTGCCAGAAGAAAGGAAATTATAAGAACCAGAGCATAATTAAATGAAATAGAGAGTAGAAAAACAATTGAAAGAGTTAACATGTCCAAAAGCTGGTTCTTTGAAAAGACCAACAAAACTGATAAACCACTGGCCAAACTGACAAAAGAAAAACAGGAGAGGAAGCAGATAATCTGCATAAGAAATGAGATGGGTGATATCACAACAGGCCCAACTGAAATTAAAAGAATCATAACAGATTACTATGAAAAATTGTACTCTGACAAATTTGAAAACCTAGAGGAAATGCAAAAATTTCCAGAAACTCACGACCCACCTAGATTTACACAAACAGAGGCAGAACAGCTAAATAAACCCATAAGAAAAGAAGAGACTGAAAAGGTTATTAAAAAACTGCCAACAACAACAACAACAACAAAAAAGCCGGGCCCGGATGGCTTCAGTGGAGAATTCTACCAAACTTTCAGAGAAAAGATAACACCGCTTCAACTAAAGGCATTTCAGATCATAGAAAAGGGTGGAATACCCCCAAACTCATTCTAAGAAGTCAGCATAAACTGACAGCAAAACCAGTTAAAAACACCACCAGAAAAGAAAATTACAAACCAATATCCCTCATGATCATTGATGCGAAAATCCTCAACAAAATTTTAACCGAAAAATTCAGCAGCATATCAAAAACATAATTCACCATGACCAAGTTGGATTTATACCAGGTATGCAGGGATGGTTCAACATTAGGAAAACAAACAATGCAATCCATCACATAAATGAAGCAAAAGACAAGAACCACATGATCTTATCAATCGATGCAGAAAAGGCAATCAACAGAGTCCAACACCCATTCACGATAAACACTCTCAAAAAAATAAGAATAGAAGGGAAATTCCTCAATATAATTAAGGGCATTTATAAAAAACCAACAGCCAACATCATCTTGAATGGAGAGACTTTGAAATCATCCCACCCCTCTTGAGAACAGGAACCAGACTAGGATACCCTTTATCACCACTATTATTCAACACTGTGCTATAGGTCCTTGTCAGAGCAGTTAGACTAGAAAAAGAAATAATGGGCATCCAAATATGTAGGGAAGAAGTCAAAGTATCTCTATTTGAAGACTATATGATCTTATACACAGAAAACCCCAAAGAATCCACAAGACAACTACTGGAATTAGTAGATTTCAGCAAAGTTTCAGGATACAAGATAAACATACAAACATCAATAGGATTCCTTTACACCAATAAAGAGAACCTTGAAGAGGAAATTGCCATATCAATACCATTTACAATAGCTCCCAAAAAGATAAAATACTTAAGAAAATCTAACCAGAGATGTAAAAGATCTTTACAGAGAAAACTGCAAGACAGTACTTCAAGAAACTAAAAGGGACTTGCGTAAGTGGAAAAATATACCTTGCTCATGGATAGGTAGAATCAACATAGTGAAAATGTCAATTCTACCCAAAGCAATCAACAGATACGATGTGATCCCGATCCAAATTCCACCAGCATTTTTCAATGAGATGGAGAAACAAATCACCAACTTCATATGGAAAAGGAAGAGGCCCCAAATAAATAAAGCACTACCCAAGAAGAAGAGCAAAGTGGGAGGCCTTACACTACCTGATTTTAGGACCTATTATACTGCCAGGGTAGTCAAGACAGCCTGGTACTGGTACAACAACAGATACTTAGACCAATGGAACAGATTTGAGAATCCAGATATAAGCTCATCCACGTAGGAGCAGCTAATAGCTGACAAAAGCCCAAAGTCCGTTAATTGGGGAAAAGACAGTCTCTTTAACAAATGGTGCTGGCATAAATAGACATGCAAACAACTGAAACAAGACCCATATCTACACCATGTAGAAAAACTAACTCAAAATGGATCAAAGACTTAAATATAAAATCGAAAATGATAAAGATCATGGAAGAAACGACAGAGACAACGCTAGGTGCCCTAATACATGGCATAAACACAATACGAACCAGTAAGTAACAATGCGCAAACACCAGAAAAGAGACTATGGGAGCTCCTAAAAATCAAACACTTATGCTCATTAAAAGACTTCACCCAAAGAGTAAAAAGACGGCCTACAGACTGGGAAAAAATTTTTGGCCACAGCAAATCCGATCAGCGTTTAATCTCTAAACTCTACAAGATACTGCAAAACCTCAACATCAAAAAGACAAATAATCCAATTAGAAAACGGGCAAAAGATATGAACAGGCACTTCACCAAAGAAGATATTCAGGCGGCTAAGAGACACATGAAGAAATGCTCACGATCATTAGCCATTAGAGAATTGCAGATCAAAACTATGATGAGATATCATCTCACCACAACAAGGTTAGCTTTAATCCAGAAAACACAAACTAACAAATGCTGGAGAGGTTGTGGAGAGGCTGGAAAACTTATACAATGTTGGTGGGAATGTAAAACGGTACAACCACTTTGGAAATCGATTTGGCGCTTCCTTAAAAAGCTAGAAATAGGAGTACAATACAATCCAGCTATCCTACTCCTTGGAATATATGCTAGAGAAACAAGAGCCGTTACACGAATAGATATATGCACACCCATGTTCATTGCAGCACTGTTCACAATAGCAAAAAGATGGAAGCAACATAAGCGTCCTTCAATGGACGAATGGTTAAACAAACTATGGTACATCCACACTATGGAATATTATGCAATGATAAAGAACAATGATGAAGCTGTGAAACATCGTATAACATGATGGAAGCTGGGACTTACTATGCTGAGTGAATTTAGTCGGTCACAGGAGGACAAATCCTGTATAACACCACTATTATAAGAACTCAAGAAAAGGTTTAAACACAGAAGAAAACATTCTTTGATGGTCACGGCGGTGGTGAGGGAGGGTGAGGGTTATTCACTAACTAGATAGTAGATAAGAATCATCTTAGGTGAAGGGAAGGACAGCACACACTACAGGGGTAGTCAGCACAACTGGACTAAACCAAAGCTAAGAAGTTTCCTCAATACAATCAAATACTTTGAGAGACAGAGTAGCAGGGATGCGGGGTCTGGGGACCATGCTTTCAGGGGACATCTACGTAAATTGGCATAACAAAGCTTACTAAGAAAATGTTCTGTATCCTATTTTGTTGAGTGGCGTCTGGGGTCTTAAAAGCTTGCAAGTGGCCATCTAAGATGCATCAACTGGTCCCAAACACTTGGAGTAAAGGAGAATGGAGAACACCAAAGACACAAGGAAAGTATTTGCCCAAGAGACAGAATGGGCCACATAAAACAGAGACTTCATCAGCCTGAGACCAGATGAACTAGATGGTGCCCAGCTACCACCAATGAACATCCTGACAGAGAACACAACAGAGAGTTCCTGATGGAGCAGTAGAACGATGGGATGCAGAACTCAAATTCTAGTAAGAAGACCAGACTTAATGGTCTGACTGAGATTGGAGGCGCTCCGGAAAGCATGGCCCCTGGACTCTCTATCACCTCAGAACTAAAACAATTTCCGAGGCCAACTCTCCCGACAGGGATTGGACTGGACTGTGACACGTAAAGTGATATTTGTGAAGAATGTGCCTCTTAGTCAAGTAGATACAAGAGACGAAAGGGGCGGCTTCTGTCCAGAGGTGAGATGGGAAGGTAGAGAGAGTTAGGAGCTTGTTGAATGTTCATAAGGAATCAGGGGTGGAGGGGAGGAGTGTGCTTTCACAGAATGGGGTGAGCGGTTGGGGTCTCATAACAAGAAAAGTAAAAAACATATTCTGTGGGGGAGACTAACTTGAAATGTAAACTTCATTTTATTACAAGAATAAAAAAGAAAAAGACTGAACACAGGTGAGTCACCATGGAGTCTGTTTTGGGATGGATTTTCCTTGTTGCTATTTTGAAAAGTTATTTAATGGAGATCAAGAGACATTGAGTATGTGAGTGAGTATGAGTGAAACAATGACTATGTGTGATGATTTTCCTAGCCAAGATGCCTCTGTGTATGCAGATGTCCAGTCTGAGATGCAGCTGGTGGAGTTTGGGAGAAAACTTATAATATTTCTTCTTGTGCTTCCATGAGAAAGAAACCAAGGTCAACCAAATTGGAAAGCAAGAGGTAACACTATCTCTATTTGCTGATGATATGATAATGTATATAGAGAACCACAAAGATTGCAGAAGAAAACTACCAAAATGAATAGAAAGATTCAGCAGAGTAGCAGAATACAAAATCAACATTTAAAAAGCAGTTGGATTCCTATACATCAACAAAAAGAACTTCAGAACAGAAATCAGGAAAACAATACTATTTATAATAGCCCTAAAAAGATAAAATACGAATAACTCTAACAGGGACGTAAAAGTCCTATACAAAGAAAATTAAAAACACTACTGCAAGAAACCAAAAGAAATCTACATCAGTGGAATGTATAACATGCCCATGTATAGGAAGATTCAAAATTGTGAAAATGTCAATTCTATACAAAACTGTCTACAGATATAATGCAATCCAGATCCAAATACCAACACTATAACGAGATGGAAAAACTCATCGCCAACTTTATATGGAAAAGAAGGAGACCCCAGATAAGCAAAACATTATTGAAGAAAAAGAACAAAGTAGGAAGCCTCACACTACCTGATCTCAAAACCTACTATACAGCCATGATAGTAAAAACAACCGGGTACTGGTACAAGGACAGACGCATACACCACTGGAACAGAATCGAGAACCGAGATGTAAATTCATCTGCATATGGTCAGCTGATCTTCGGTAAAGGCCCAAAGTCCATTAAATGAGGAAAAAACAGTCTTTTTTAACAAATGGTGCTGACAATGCTGGACGTCAATCTGTAAAAAAATGAAACAAGACCCATCCTCACACCATAAACAAAAGATAACTCATAATGGATCAAAGACCTATGTATAAAACCTAAAAGTTAAACATAATGGATGAAAAAAATAGGGAAAATGCTAGGAGTCCTAATGCATGACATAAATTCAATACAAACCATAAGTAACAACGCACAAACACCAGAAGATGATCTAGATAACTGGGAGGCCCTGAAAATTAAACACTTATGTTCATAGAAAGACTTCACCTAAAGAGTGAAAAGAGAACCTACAGACTGGGGGTAAAATATTGGCTATGACATATCCAACAAGGGTCTCATCTCTAAAATCTATGGGAAACTTCAACATCTCAATAATAAAAGGGCATATAATCCAATTAAAAAATGGGCAAAGGATATGAACAGGCACTTCACAAAATAAGACATTCAGGCAGCTAACAGATACATGAGGAAATGCTCGCGATCACTAGCCATTAGAGAAATGCAAATCAAAACCACAATAAGATACCGTCTCACCCTGACATTACTGGCACT